CAAAAAGAGAGCTACAGAGGTATAGGTTTTAGAATTTAGAATATCTCTTCCAGTTTTGTTAGTTAACAGATTACCAGTCATTCTGTATCTCCCATCCAACTACAGTCCTATGTTGAAACATATGGATCCTTTTTGGCTGGGAGTGGAGGTACACAGAAACATGCCAAACCCCATGTTGGAGATGTGGGGATGCATTTTTAGTGGAATGCTAAAGGTATCACCTGTCGTAAGACTTCAGATTGTGTAGAACAAGGGTCCCCAACTTTTTCCATCCCATGGACAGGCTGGGGAAGGCGGGCACCCCTGCACTTGTGCGCATGCGCAAACAAGTGCACATTCTCTATTGCACAAAGGAGCACAAACTTGTGCGCATGCACAAACAGCAGTGTGGTGCTTGTCTGGGCACGCTCGTGCACATATGCAAATGGTGGTGTGGCGCTCACACATACTGGAGTGCGCATGCATGTGCGAATCAGCTGTGCGGGGATGAGTGCGTGCAGGGGGCAGGGCGGGAGGTCTGTCTCAATGGCTCAGTCTGGCTCAGGCCACAGACTGTCACCGGGCCACGGACCGGGGGGTTGGGGCCTCTGGTGTAGAAGGACCAAATGCTTTTTTCCCCCTTTTATGCTTTACCATGCTGGGTTTTAAAATAAAAGCAGTGTATTTCCACATGCACAGTAAACATGAAATTAAAAATTAGAATCTTTAAAAGAGCAGATAACCCCAGCTACAACTCATGTTCACCAAAGCTTGATGAGCCATGTTCCTAAGTTTCTCTTGCTCACAGTTCATACCAAAGGAGCAAATTTATGAGTCACACTGCATTAGTTTTAACAGGTCAGTTTAGTAACCCAAGTGCCCCTGGGAGTATTGTATTTCAATCAATCTGTAACTCTGTTAAGGTTCTTTGATTTTAAAAATAGATGACAGAATTGTCAGCTGAAGATAGTCTCACATCTGGGTATTGGGAGGTGTGCTTAGACTTGACTTTGTATGAATACAAAGTACATTGGGTGGGGTTCCTTTTGTGTTTCCTCTTGGCACTCACACTGGATTCTAAAATAGTAATAGTTCTGTAAACTGTTCAAACATAGTGTGTACAGGTTATAACAAAGCAAAACATCTTAAATAACATCTCCCCAATGTTATTTAACATTTATATGAGGCTGTTGGAGAAGGTAATCAGGAGTTTTTGGAGCTTTGTGTCACCAATGTGTGGATGACACTCAACTCTATCTCTCCTTCCACCCTTCTGCAGACAATGCTGTCCCATCCCTTGAGTACTCTCTGGACGCCATGCTAAGATGGATGAGAGATAATAGACTGAGGCTAAACCTGGACAAGATGGAAATTATGAGGGTGGGGACCCCTAGTGTTTGCGGCCTGGATAGGTGCCTCCCTCTCTTTGAGGGGGTTACTCTTTCCATGAAGAGTATTGGGCATACTCTTGGACATGACGCTGTCAGTGGAATCCCAGATAGCATCTGTGGTCTGCTCCACCCATTTCCATCTAAGGCAGATTTCCCAGTTGTGCCCCTATCTTGACACAGGATTCCTCACCATGCTAGTTCATGCATTGGTAATCTTGAGATTGGACTACTGCAATGCTCTCTACATGGGGCTGCCCTTGGAGCTGTTACAGAGACTCCCAACGGGTCCAGAAACTGGAGGCCAGAATTTTGAGTGGGGTCAGGAAATAACAACCATTTCCCCCACCTTAGCCACCATGCACTGGTTACCTGTTTGCTTCTGTATCCGCTTTAAGGTGATAGTTTTAACCTATAAGGCCTGAAATAGTTTGGGACCTTGATATCTGGGAGAGCACCTCCTTCTGATTAGATCTGCCTGTCCTATAAGATCATCACAGGCAGGGGGATTGAGAGCTTTGACCCCGAGAGAGACCTGAAAGGTGACTACCAAATGGGGGGGGGGGGATTTCTTTGGTTTGCGTTGGAACAACACAAAAAAAAACAGAGAAGAAAAGTCAAATCTGATACAATCCCATATAGAAACCCAAAAATGCAAATCCTGTAATGAGTTTTTTGCACCTCTCTACTGGAATTTTGGACCACTCTTCTTTTGCAAACTGCTCCAGGGCCTTCAGATTTGAAGGACGCCTTCTCCCAACTGCTGTTTTGAGATCTCTCCACAGGTGTTCTATGGGATTCAGATCTGGACTCATTGCTGGCCATTTCAGAACTCTCCAGCACTTTGTAACCATTTCTGAGTGCTTTTTGAAGTGTGTTTCGGGTCATTGTCCTGCTGGAAGACCCATGACCTCTGGTGGAGATGCAGCTTTCTGACACTGGCCACTACGTTGTGCCCCAAAATTCTTTGGTAATCATCAGATTTCATGATATCGTTCACACAGTCAGGGCATCCAGTGCCAGAAGCAGCAAAGCAATCCCAAAGCATCTTTGAACCTCCACCATGTTTGACTGTAGGGACTGAGTTCTTTTCTTCGAATGTCTCATTTCTTTATCTGTAAACATTGCTATGATGTGTTTTACCAAAAAACTATACTTTCATCTCATATGTCCACAGTACTTTCTCCCAGAAGGATTGTGGCTTTGTCACATAAGTTTTGGCGTACTCCAGTCTTGCTCTTTTATGCCTTTGTGTCAGCAGTGGTGTCTTCCTGGTTCTCTTACCATAGGATCCCTTTCATTCAGATAGCGACGGATAGTGCGAGCTGACAATGTTGTACCCTGTGTCTGCAGATCAGCTTGAATTTGTTGGAAAGTTAATCTGGGTTCTGTATTCACCATTTGCACAACCCTTTGTTGTAATTTTTCAGTAATTTTGCTCTTCCATCCACATCCAGGGAGGTTAGCTACAGTGCCATGGGCTGTAAACCTCTTGATGATATTGTGCACAGTGGACACAGGAACATTAAGATATCTGGGGATGGACTTGTAGCCTTGGGATTGTCAATGTTTTTCCACCATTTTTTAATCTCAAATCCACAGACAAGTCTTTACAATTCATTCTTTTCTCCATGCTAAGTGTCACACACAACACAAAGGTTGAGTCAACTTTTCTCCATCTTAACTGGTTGCAAGTGTTATTACTATATTGCCCACACCTCTTACTTGCGACAGGTGCACCTAAATACAAATTAAAGGAGCATCATATATTTGGAAAGCAATTATTTCCTACAATTTAGACAGGGTACCAATAATTTTGGCCAGTACATGTTTGGGTTTCTACGTGGGACTGTATCAGATTTGACTTTTCTTCTGTGTTTCTTTGTGTTGTTCCAATGCAAACCAAAGAAATGAACATGTGAGTACCAAAACATTTGCAACTGCAACAATTTTCTGAGAAAAGGGTTGCATTTTCTGACAGAATTGCAAGGGTGCCAATATTTTTGACCATGGCTATTTATGTCACTTAATCAATGAAGACTTGATGACTGGCAGATTACTTAATTGTAGAACATTGCAATTTGAAATTATGTGAGGTGATATGAAAGTTGACACTGATGGTAGTTCCTTGGTTAGGTTACCTACACATATAGCTCCTGAAGTAATGAATACATTTGTAATACTCTGTCTGGAGAGTAGATTTATGGTATGAAGAGCAGAGTACATAGACTCCTAACCATTTATTTACATCAGTATTCACATGAGCAGAGTTCATTTCCCCCCTTTTCTCATTATCTCTGTCTAAGGAAGCAGCAAAAAATAAATATTGGAGTTTGGACCCATGGTAGCTGGGGATTTGGGGAACTAAGCAAGTCATTTCCCCATAGTAGCTGGGGATTTGGGGAACTAAGCAAGTTTTCCATATTGTGAACTTCAAGGCAGTAGTTCTGAACCTTTCAGATCTTATGCCCCACTAGTCACTATATCCAAGAAAATGAATTTGCAAGGAATGAAGGGGGAAAAACCACCTTTTTTCCCAAGAAGACATGTTCATGTCAACAGGCAATCTATTTTTATGTTTATAATTTTCAGTAAGTTTTAGGGACATGAAAAATTACAGTTACTGGGAATAAATACAGAGACGGAACAATGATTCCATTAATACAATACTAACATTGTTGAGGATAAATTTTACTGCTAGTGTAAATATAGAACACAAAGATAGTAAACATAAATTGTAGTAGTATTACTGAGAATAACTTATTAAAAACCAGAACCCTACCTAGCCTACTTCTGTATCCAGTGAGTGGTATTTACACTGCTTGTTCAAAACCCTTGCTCTACGATGTCATTAAGTGGCAGCGGTGAGGCCTGTGTTCATTTGTGCTTGTTGCTGACCAGCACTAGTCTCCAATCAGCAAGGGCTCATTGGCTGTTTGTGCTCCCACTCACCCAGTGCTTATCTAGGAGTATAGGCAGCTGCCATTTGCTAAAATGGCCCCTCTGCATTTGAAAAACATAAGTGCCACTTCTGTAGCACTTGAGATACCAGTTTCTTTGAGACAAGGTTTAAAGTCTGGTTACTGCAAAGTTAGTCACCAGGCAGTAGACTTTGCTTTTTCTGAGTTACGCTGTCTCCATCTTTCCTTGTCCCCTTCCAAATATTGTTCACTTACCTTGTTTCAGTATTCAGAAAGTAGGAGTTAAGAGCAAACTCAGCAATAAACTGCCCTGGCAGCAACTGGAGTTCGTTGTCTACCACGAATACTTGCTTCGACCAGGTGCTACCAGCATTTGGCTGGCTTTATACAGAGTATATTTCATTAAGAGCAAACTTAGCAATAAACTGCCCTGGCAGCAATTGGAGTTCGTTGTCTACCACTGAATACTTGCTTCGACCAGGTGCTACCAGCATTTGGCTGGCTTTATACAGAGTATATTTCATTATATTAAAGCTGTTGGATTTGAGTGTAATTAGCACTAAGCTAAGTGTTTATTTGGTTTGCTACTTTGAATAATGATCATTTGTGTCTGTGTTATTTGTGAGTTTTGTGTGAAGCCTGCACTCGCCACCCTCTGTTCTCTTCTCATTCAATTAACCTTTTTTGTTTTGTTTTTTTGTGTTGCAGAGCAAAGAAGTTGGGCAGCAGCTCCAGGAGGACTTGATGAAGGTCTTGAATGAGCTTTATACGGTAAATCAAGTTGCCTCTTTTTCAGAAAAGAGGAAAGAAATGTTTGACTTTCCCTTGAGTGCTGCAATAGCAACAATCAAGCATTTGAAATGATGAATGGCTGCAGTTTGTGCTGAAACAGTGTGCATTTGCTAGACTATTATATACTGTAAATATTTTTTTTGCTCAGCTCTTAACCTCAGGTTGTATCTGTATTGTCTTTCCTCCTGTCCGATTACTTTCCATATTGGCTATGAATAGGACTAAGTGTTTGGGGACATCATAGGAACTGTGCAGAGTATAATAACTGCAGTTCTGAGATCAATTTTGGCTAGAAATAGACCGTACACAAGTGCTTCTATTCATTTAACATGTGGGCAAGCACTGTGCACAAAATTTGGCATGCAATAAATTTTGCTGCACATTATCAGTTCTATTCAGTGCTTTTGCTATCCAGAAGGGAGAGTTAGATCTGGCTTCTTAGACATTTGGGTTGCAGCAGGTTTTCATCCTAAATATACAGAACTGCTAATCTTTATCAAACCCCAACATGTTTATCAGCCACAGCTCTAGACTTGGGCTTTGAAAATGGACTTGTAATATGATGTGCCGTATCTGTCTGTATATCTATCATGTACTAACATTTGTATGTCTCTGTGTGTACATTAGCACACGTCCACTGTTATACACTGCCACTGTTCTGTTTTCATCCTAAATATACAGAACTGCTAATCTTTATCAAACCCCAACATGTTTATCAGCCACAGCTCTAGACTTGGGCTTTGAAAATGGACTTGTAATATGATGTGCCGTATCTGTCTGTATATCTATCATGTACTAACATTTGTATGTCTCTGTGTGTACATTAGCACACGTCCACTGTTATACACTGCCACTGTTCTGCAAATGCATTGTCTGTGTGTCTCTGTGTGTACATTAGCACAAGTCCACTGTTATACACTGCCACTGTTCTGCAAATGCATTATTATTACATCATGGGTCTGTAGTGCAGTGCTGAATTCTAAAGGAAGACCAAAGCTAGTATCTTACAGAGCATCTACTGAGTGGAAGGTCCCACCAGCAGATTGATGCAAGATCACACTGAATGAGGAAACCACCATAGAAATCACAATTTGCACAACAGCAACACTTGAACAGGTTGCATGATCTCATGTTCTGCATTGGTGATGCTCTGGCCCAACATACTGAAATAGCATTTTGCCTATATTATCTATTTTTGCTTTGTACATTCAAGATATGTATTTCATAAAATATCTTTTACAAACTGAAGGGCCAGATTACTCAGTTGACAGACCCAGATTTTTTATCCAGACATCTGCAGACCTCCACACAAAACTTGTCTTAACATTTCTGTAGCTCTTGCTTTTGATACTAAACTTGTTAACACTTGGCTGAATTTTCATTCCTAAAGTGCTTTTGATATATTTGACTGTGTTGTGTATATGCAGCACAAGCTTGCATGTATGTAGTACACCCTCTAACTTGTGCTACCGTTAATCAACAGCTGGAGAACTACTAACAGAGGCACACAATGAGGAATAAAAGCTTACAAAATATGTTGATACTTGTACTGACTCAAATCTAAGTATGTAAGTCAAGTCAGTATTTTCCTATGAAAGCAGTTCTTAAGTCAAAATGTTCTTAACTCAAGCCGTTCTTAAGTCAAGACCCCACTGTACACCCTCTAACTTGTGCTACCGTTAATCAACAGCTGGAGAACTACTAACAGAGGCACACAATGAGGAATAAAAGCTTACAAAATATGTTGATACTTGTACTGTCCCATCATTTTCCCTGCAGTATGATTATTAGCTTAAATATTAAAAGAGTTATCAAATAGTATCACAGATGCTGTTAGCTCTTCCCTTATGGAGGCAACTCTCTGTGTGATTTCCCACATGGTTTAAGGCCAGGTAGCAAGTTCATAGTCGAGGCCATATTTGAGCCAGGATACTCTGACATCTGGTTCATACTTGGAAATATTTTGCTGATCAGCTTTTGGTTCTTAAGGTACCATATCTTTCTGCTCAGCTGTGCAGTTAACATGAGTACCAAGGCAGAGGCATTGCCTGGGGAGGAAGAAGAAATGTGTTCCCAAAAGGTCTTATGGAGCTCTGGAACATTTCTTCTTGAACAGCTGAATGGTGTATGTTTGGAGTTGATTAAATCTGTCTGTTCAGCAACTGTGACCAAATTGCTTCTATTTTAGTAAAGGAGCCCTGCAAGTGTTTTCTTTGGGGCTAGTTTTCAAAATGCTAGGCTTCTTTTGGATTTTCCCTCATCAACAAGAATTACTGAACTGTGAAAGTCTGTGGTCTGTATCTCCTATAAAAAGCTACTTCAGGAATGCTCTTGAAAGCAAAGCATATTGACCCTGGTCATAGAATAGGGGTTATTAATGACTATGATCTAGGTACAGGCTGATTTTGCTGGTCTGATCTGAATCAGCAAATTACACAGGGATTGGCCAATGTTTGGGATAGTTTTTTAAAAGCTGCAGAGTCCAGAGCCTTTACTGCATGGTGTGGTGCAGTGGAATTTTTAGTACTTGACTACATTCCAGCTGCAGATGTTTAGCATTTTGAACACTGAGCTGGGGTGGTGACATAGCAGCAGGGCTCTGCAGGAGACTGGAGGGTGCGTCCTGCTTGTGGCTTTTATCTGGCTTCCTGGAAATTGGGAATAGTTAGCCTTAGTAAATCCACAAGCATGTCTCCATAGGAAAAAGAACTGACGCTGTTTGTAGCAATGGTATTAGATCACTGTAATTAGCAAACGGCTATATGGCTGTGATTGTGAAATGCTGAGGAGGCCCCATTGTTTTCAGTCATAGTGCTCAGCAGCCTTAGTGGAGTTGCTGGCCAACGCAATACCCATGGGCAACGCCACTGAGTGATACTGCATACATGGCCAGTTGCCCAGTGACAATGAAACAACAAACGGCCAACCAACTGGAGGGGCAGAAGCACCTCTTTAAAGCCTATATCTAAGAAAGGGGAGGAGAACCAAAGGAAAGAGGATGGACCATTTCATTCCAACAATGTTACTGACTGCTCAAACAGTGACAGCCCCACAGCCTCAGGAAGGCTGCCTGAGACCAGGAAGAAGAGAGCATCAGAGCCCTGGCGGGCCCCACTGATGGTCTGATCCTCAAGTCACAGTGGAAACGAAGGGCCAATGCCCACTTAGATGTGCTGCTGAATTTGTGCTGGGAAGCACATACAAGTTGCCCTCCCCACTGCAAAGGGGGTCCCAAATGGGTGACCTCAAGGAGAAGGGGAAATGAATGAGCTGGAGCCATCTTTCTAGTATGGATGGCATATGGGGCTTTGTGGGAGGCTGGGGACATAAATGCCACTTCCTTCCTGCATAGAAGAGTAAAACAGCCCTTACCGTGCTGTCCAGTAGTCATGATTTCAGTAGTACGTAACAATCTGTGGGTTTTGATTCTACAATGACTTCTGATGTGGAACCATGGGTAAATCTCTCCAGCTTTGATATGGTATAATCTTTATAATTCTCGAGACTGAAGGATGCCTACAAGAACAATCTTTGAATTTTTTGGCTATGAATTGGAGCCCAGTCTCTGGCTGCTGAGGAAAATGGCAATCGTGGTATGATTTCAGTAGTACCTAACAATCTGTGGGTTTTGATTCTACAATGACTTCTGATGTGGAACCATGGGTAAATCTCTCCAGCTTTGATATGGTATAATCTTTATAATTCTCGAGACTGAAGGATGCCTACAAGAACAATCTTTGAATTTTTTGGCTATGAATTGGAGCCCAGTCTCTGGCTGCTGAGGAAAATGGCAATCGTGGATTTGAGGCTCTTCTTTATGTGATCTGCTTTATGGGCACCTTGTAAAATTCTGGCCTCGTGCCATAACGCAGGCTGGACAAGGGCGCTCGTTTATCCTTGTTTTGCTTATACAATAATAAAATGTACTGTAAGGCAGCCTTTGACAAGTTACTCCTTACCTTGTGGGCACCTTGTAAAATTCTGGCCTCGTGCCATAACGCAGGCTGGACAAGGGCGCTCGTTTATCCTTGTTTTGCTTATACAATAATAAAATGTACTGTAAGGCAGCCTTTGACAAGTTACTCCTTACTGGGAATATGAATAGAAATTGAATTGTTCAGTATGCCTCTTCCCTTGGAAAGGGTGAAGCCAGTAGCACATGGATAGTGGCTGAGTGTCTCTTCTGGCCACTGTGACTGTTAGACATTTGGTATTACTTTGTGTGAGGACTTTCTAAGTAGAACTGCACAGAGAACTGCACAGACCCTAAAATGATAGGTCACAGAGCTTAGGTTTCCTGCAAAAATATTTCCTGGCTACATCACCATCTGTTATCTGTTATGAGTAAAATAATCCATCAGAGTGAAATAATGGTGAAATAATCTATAATCTACCAAATAAATGTTTACTTGTGTGAGTGCTAATAAAGCATATTTAATTTACATAAGTTAATCCACTGGAGATCCTATGTATCAGAAGATGTATACAAACTACTATATTACCTTGTACTTTCATCTGGAGAGGCCATTGTATACCTAAAAGGATTGTGCGCATATGGGCTTCAATCTGGTGCTTAGCCCCAATCAGAGTAGACCCAGTGGGGTCTACTATTTGTTGTTGTTTAGTTGTTAAGTCATGTCCGACTCTTTGTGGCCCCATGGATCAGAGCACGCCAGCCCCACTGCCTCCTGGAGTTGGGTCATATTCATTCTGGTAGCTTTGATGACATTGTCCAACCATCTGGTCCTCTGTCATCCCCTTTTCCTCTTGCCTTCATTCTTTCCCAACATAGGGTCTTTTCCAGGGAGACTTCTCTTCTCATGAGATGGCCAAAGTATTGGAGCCTCAGCTTCAGGATCTGTCCTTCCAGTGAGCACTCAGCGTTGATTTCCTACTATAGTCTGCTATAGTAAGGATTAAATGATTGATTTAGGCCATGATCAAGATATATTTCCTTCTCTGGTTCAGGAGCTGCCAGTAGTACATTATTGCAAATCACCTTTGAAATACCTTCAGTTTTTAGATTTCAAAGAGGAAAGCAGCTCAATTTACTAGTATGGCACATCATGCGTGTGGGCAATATCTAAATACCAGGTGCTGATAAATAATAGAACTAAATATAACAAAATGCTTTACCATTTTATAGGCATGCTAATATTGGACGTTTTACTTACCTTATTTGCATCATTTTGCAGGGGGGTGTTGTTGCATCTGTTCTTTTCTTTATTCATTTCAATTTGAATCTTATAATTGCTCTGTCACTTTAATCATATTAATATACATGAAAAACTGTAGTTCCATAGAAATTTACAATTGTTTCGGATTTGTAGAATCTGAAAATTATGCCAATAAAAGCTGATATAAAATAGAACATTAAGTTACAAGAGGCTTGTGTGTTTTCTTGTAATATGACATGCCAGGCATTTCTTACTATTGCGGCAGCCATGTATATCTTTTTGGAACTAAAAACATTGTGTTTGTTTCCAAACTACGAGTGTCATTGTGCACTGCTGAAATATATTTTGAATGGAGTACATATAGTCTACAGAGAATTAAGGCAGGGATTAAACAATTGTTGACCTTAATTCCATTCTTAAAGTAGTTCTATGATATAATCAAAGGGGGGGGGTTTACTGCTTTTAATCCATGAATATGTAATAGTGAAAAGAGAGAGCAAAGGGTTGATAGTTGGTGAGTGGTGAGATGTTGACCTACCTTTGTAGGTTTAGAAAAGGTGTTGAGTCTCTTTATCATCATCTTACTATCCTTATTTAAATTCAAATTCCATCTGGCAAAGTGGGCTGTAGCCTACTGGAGTTTACATCACAGTATGTTCATTCATCTTTACTGTGCCACAGGATTCTGGGATAACGAAAGTGAGGTACCTTCTGTTTCTCACATGGTTAAAGGTTCATCCCGGTAAAAGTAGGTTGAGCAACACAAAGCCCTCCTCTTCCATTCTTGTGGTTCTACAGGCTCCTCAAAGGCCTCTTTCCTCCCTCTGCTGTCATGATAAAAGTGGCATTAGGCATGTTTCCCTTTGAATTAATGTATACCCCACACAGCTTGTTTACAAACAGTGTTGTCTTCCTAGAAACAACTTTTCACTGCTAATGCCATCTGGGAGTTCAGGGACAGAGCCACATCAAGGAGTTACTACTTGATTATGAACATCATCTTTTTTAATAGGATGTTACCCATTCCAGAACAGGTTGAGTCCCAATTTGAGAGCAGAAAAAAATGTATTAACTTTAACACACTCATAACTACAGAACTGTAATATTTGTAGTAGCTGTTTGTTGCATCAAAACAAAACAAAGTGTGGCTCCTTAAGGGCTGATACCTTTTATTTGGCATAAGCTTTTATGAACTGTAGCCCCCTTTTCACATGCATTTGTTCAGAAACGGGGTTTCTGTTTTCATGTGGATTAGTTTCTTTGTGAATCTGGTGCATTTCCACTATATACAGCTCATAATGGTTTCTTCCATTTTATGTCCCCTGAACTATGCTCCAAGCTTCTGAAGAAGTCTGCTACAGGGCACAAAAGCTTATGTCAAATAAAACTTCTTAATCTTTACAGTGTCACAAGCTTCTTTGTTGCAGTAGCTACATTTCTGTTGTGGGCCATTGTGCAATCAATATGAGTCTTGACCATGATAACAGATCTGGCAAGCACACATAAAAGAATTATGATAAGACATTCTCAGCTCTCTGAAGCCAATTAAAAATGAGGTTTCATTTGTTTCCATTGCCCTGTACTATGTCCCTGCTAAAGGGATGCTGGTAGGGGAAGAAAAGAATTCTTTTCTGTGCTTACAGCTATTATTCTGAATGCTTCCTTTCAATCTACTAATGTATGAAAGCTGCCATGTAAATTATTCAGATGCTCTCATTTAACTCTGACTGGGCTTGCATTTTTTACTGTGACGTCTTCCTGTAACCAAGAAGCATTGCTTAATCACTACAGGAGAGGAGAATGCACATATCCCACTTAAGAAAAATTATAGTCAAGTTCAAGCTGAGGTGAAATAAGAGTCAGTGGCATTGTGCCTGAAAGTGACTTGAGGCAAGAGTTTGGCTCATGTCAGTATTTCAGAGCTGGAACAGATCTCTGCTCTCTGCTGAGTATGTTTTGAGCCAATTCCTGTTGAGTAAGTGTAACACCTCATAGGGCCCCGTTACAGCAGCATTTAAGAATCTTTCAGCCTTGTTTTAAAATTTGTTCTGTAAGCCCCACACTATGGAAAGACGTGACAAAAAACAATTTTCACTAAATAAATATTTGTCACTGGTGTAATGATAATTATGAATTGAACTGCTGGATAGCTAAGTGGTTTGGGTATCTGGCTGTGGAGCCAGAAGTTGGGAGTTCAATTCCCCACTATGCTTCCCTGACAGGGGCTGGACTCAGTGATCTGGAGGGTCTCTTCCAGCTTTGCAGTTCTAAGATGATGACGATGATGATGATGATGATACTAAGTCAGATGTTATACTCAACTAATTTTAGAAGATGGGTCTAACAAAAAAAAAGAGGTGCTAAATGGAGAAAGTGTGTTTCTAACCAGATCCACTGGCTGGAGTCTTGTTGTGCAGTTCTGCACAATGTGAAGACATGCTATCATCAGCCATAGATTTTAATCTGTAATATAAACTTTCCTTTCCCCCTCCCCCATGTTTCAAGGGACCCCTTGGGACCTTGTTGGGCCAGTGGTATTGAAGGCTCTCTCTCATCCTGAGGCTTTCAAAGGCTTCCTCAGATTTAAAAGGATCCCTAGGGAGCCTCAGAATGTATGTTTTTTTTTCAGGCGATAGAAAACTTTAAATTGAAATTAAAGACTGCATATGATGCAGCCCTCATGCACACAGAATTGTGTACCACGATCTTGGCATTAAATTAATTGTTGAACAATGATCATTTTTGTAAATCTCATTGATTCACTGGATCTGCTGTATTTGAAACTGCCACTTGGATTGAGGCACAGGTCCGTGTTATCACTCTGCACATATCAGATTGGTTTGACACTCTGTTACTGGACTGATTTATGGAACCATTGGTGTTTTCCCATGTGACTGTTCATTTTCTTTAACAAAGACAGAACAAAGCAAAAAACAAAACAAAAAAACTTCCTAAAAGACTATTGTATTACTCATTTGTTTTCCTAGAAAACAAATGAGTAATACATAATCACCAACACTTTTCATAATCTTAATTTCACTGTTCATTGTATTCACAGGTTCTGTCTGGAAGTAGTATCGTGCTTACATACATGTCTTGCTGCTTGTCCTAGTCTGCTATTTTTTCTGGCCTTTTATGACTTTGTACCAATTTTCCTGCACAATTTTAAACTGACTTAGAATGTTCTGAAAGCTCAGTGATGATCTGTTGAGGACTGTGTAGTTCCATGAATCACATAAAAAGGGGGTGATTATAGATTAGCAGAACTATTTCTCGAGTTGAAATTAAAAAGTGCAAAGTGCAATCAGTGATAATTTGGCCTATAATATTTGTAGGTAGGACTGAAGTTTTGTCCTTCCCATCTGAGCAGATACCAAGCTAATGCTTGACTACTGCTGCTTATCTCTTGAAGGTGATGAAGACCTATCATATGTACAATGCCGACAGCATTAGTGCTCAGAGCAAGCTGAAGGAGGCAGAAAAGCAGGAAGAAAAGCAGATTGGCAAGTCTGTGAAGCAAGAGGACAAGCAAACCCCACGCTCCCCTGATTCAGCTTCTAGTGTCAAGTTTGAAGAAAAACATGTCCGACGGAGCTCAGTCAAGAAGATTGAGAAAATGAAAGAGAAGGTATGTAAGCAGCATGGTGGGGCTAACTGCTCTGTAATTACAAATCTCTCTTCCTGCAGTGGAGCTGCTGAGTTCTTCTGCTTGAAATACAACACACAATGGAGATTTGTGCTAGATATGTGCAGGGGGTGGGAAAAGAACTATGTAATAGGAAAACAGCAGAAATACTAACCTGACCAAGTGGCTCAGTATCTGAGTTTGGGAATTACTGCATGCTTCACCTCCTTAATTTAGAGTTGCTGTATGTGACGGGAAGCAGGAGATGGAGAGACCAAATGTGAAAAAATAAGATGTCTTCCTATACTTACTATTGGCCTTTCACCCACTTTTTCTTCAGCCTAATAAACCTGAACACTAGTGGATTTGTGCTGGAACTCTGACTCCAGATAAGCTTGCTTAGGTAAAAGAAAACCACATGAATTAATACAGACATAGGAGCAGGTGATACCTTTAATCAGCCATTAAGAATATAAAACAAAACAAAAAACCAAATAGTGAGCTTTCAATGATAAATCATCTTCTTCAAGCTGTGCAACAAGTTCTTGTGGCCAATTCCAAACTCATGTGCTTTTTTTAATGTCCCAAATTCACAGGGTTGATGGTGTAGAGGTCAGGTAAGCTTCTTAGATGGAAGCTGCTGCTGCATGCATGTTGGTTTCAAGCTCTTCTTCAGCAAGCAATTTGGAATTTAAGCCCAGCTCTTAAAACAGAGGACAATCACAGGCAAGGGGGGGGGGGGCTCCTTCTCCCTTTCTGCCTTTTGGGAACTCGAAGAGTTTCGGTTTAGTTGGATAAAAGTTGCCTTTTAATAAATTGGATAGAAGATGAAAATGCAGTTTCATTCTGCAGGATTAGAATTGTCCAGCAGACTTACTACATCACATCTGTAGCAAACTATTGTTTTGTCTGCTGTTAAAAATGTGAATTAGGAATTAGGAAGGGCTTTCTCTGTTGAGATCTAGAGTTGTTTTCCCCTTTTCTTCTGAAGCTTACAAGAAACCAGGCTGTCAAGTACTGTAGAGAGAGAGAGTGAGTTTGGGCTCTGAGCTACAGAGTACAACTAGTTCACTGAATTGCAGTTTGCACCATCTGACAGTGTTGTCCTGTCTTTACCACCAGAGTGGTAAGAGTGGAGTGTCTCTTATGTGCTGCATCAGAAAAGACCAGTTGACATCCTTCCAGGGAATCTGATTAGTTGGCCTTCATGACAGAGATTCTTCACTTGGCTCTTTGGTTCCAGCACCAGAGTCTGCTGTAGGGTTCTGAACCCTTCAGATACAAATAGGTTTTACAGAAGTAGATTCACCAGGTGAACTGATATGATGGTAGTTTGCCTTTGGTATCCTTGCCTAGACCCATCTTTGTACCACTCTGTGATGCAACACTTACACAAGTCACATACTATATGATGCATTCATTTTGCATACAAGTATTAAAGATTTCACAGACTGAATCACAAGGAATGTTCAGGGTAATAGAATAATTACTTTGACAATACAATGTCTTTCCTCGAGACCCATGGTTCATTTATTTTTTCTGTTTCTTAATAAGCTCCTTTAATTTTATTTTCAGCGGCAAGCAAAATACACAGAAAATAAACTGAAGGCTATTAAGGCACGAAACGAATATCTACTGGCTCTGGAGGCCACCAATGCATCTGTGTTCAAGTATTACATCCATGACCTGTCTGATCTCATTGATGTAAGTGTTCTGCTTTTTGTGCACCTCTACTGAATATTATTGCTGCAAAACCCATTATGTTTTTTACCCTCCACTGACTGGCTTTAGTGACAGAAATTCTCACAGGATGTGGGTTTGTCTTCTATGTTCAGTGTGTATTTAAGCCAGTTGTATGATGACAGCAGTGCTGAGGCACTTGTGTATAAACAGCAAAACAACTGGACAAGCGCTGGACCATTTTGGTTATTCTTCCCAACCAAAATTTGTGGCTTTTAGGCCAGTGCCATTCCTTCAACACAGTCTTGGGCATGTCTACAGCTTTGTATATTTGCCTAAGGAGCAATTCTGTGCGTATTCCTCTTGGAATTGGTCTCATTCAGCTTAGTGGGGTTTAGTTCAGAGTAGGCATGGATTGGATGGTTTGGTTCTTGACCTTACTGTATTTAGAGACAGTTTTTTTCTTCCCACCCCAATCATTTTGGTGCTGGGCAGCCGAGCCAACCAGAGTGCTTCTGCGACCACATACTAGAAATATCTTTGTCCAGTCTTCAGATCCAGAAGAAAAAGTTCAGCTGGTTTGGTGATGGGTGGCTGACATACACTGATGCCTTGAGTACAAAATAGCAAGTTCTAGCCTTCCTCTCCAACTTGGAAAACTCTATATTGGAATCTTTCCTGTGGTTTCACTGGACTGTCCAAACCTCACGGCAAATGAAGAGGACAGTTTTTATCCCTCCCCAACTCCTGTCAGGAGACAGAATCGATTCCTCTCACTGCTTTTGCTAGATGGAAGTGGACCCCCTTCACATTGACAGTAGGGGTGGGAATTTTGGGGGCTGCTGCAATTAACCAGATGCTAAATGGAAAAAAATTGTAGTGTTTTATGTGCTGAGGAGATTGAATAGGTAATGTTTGGAATGCAAACAAGATCTAAGTTTTTTAAGCCGGGTTAACTGAAATGTTGCTCTCTATAATGTGGGACCCGCAGGATGGTTGTATTGACTGTATTGAGCTGCTTCCTTCACTGTTTGCTGCTCAACACTGCATTTCTCTGTTTCTTGGCGGCAGCTGTAGAAGCGTCCTGTAATCAAGGTTAAAAATAGTCATTGGGGAGCCCTGAGGGTAATTGGTTGAGGGAAAGGGGCCTCCAAACAAGCAAATTAATTCCTCTCCCTTTGCTTGCTCTCCACTGTTTGTTATTCAGGCAGTCATAAAATCAAACAGGTCACACTCATTTCTGTTCAGTTCAAGCATTTATTGGAGGCCCTTACGTTTAGTTTTGCTCTGAACTGCAGGTCCATTAATAGTAGAAAACCTGTTTTGTCTTAGAGCTGGATTTGGTATCATATTCAATGGTTGCTATATTAACACCTCAAATTTCTGTTATTTTTTCAGTGTTCTCATCACTAGAATGATTTCAAAAGAGTTGGAAATGACATTTAAATAAAATATGGTCTGCCAATTGCCTTAAATGCCCATGAGATTTAAACAGCTTTGTTTATCTGAATGGTGCACAGGATTTTCTGGCTAATGGCCATGAATTTAATATGAGTTTTCATAAATTCAAAATAATGGAAATAATTTTGATCCTAACCATAATCATGGTCATTGTGCCTGTTCAAGGAATGCATGGAGTATAGTCATTTTGAGATCCTCCTGCTTGAGAATACAAACTGGCAGTGTCCTGTTTCAGCATGGCCTGTATGAAAAATGTCTTATCCACAAGCTGCTAGCATTACAGGAAGAACAAATTAGTCTTGTTCCACTGTACATCAGTTTGGCACATATTCAGACTCAAATTCATTCTGTCCAGTGTCTGCATCAACTTGATTTTTTTTAAAGTATGGAAAATGTTCATTTGTTTCTATATGCAATTTTTCCTAGTGTGATGATTTGTTTACATATTATTTTTATATGCATTTTATATGGTTCTCTAATACACAATTTTCAGCTGAGAATGATATTGTGTTATGTAATTCAGGGAACTCTGCTATACAAAGGATAGGAAAGGCTCTGTTAGGCAACTGGTCATGGAAGAAGGATTTGAACAAGGAGAAACTAGTGACCTGATGAACCAATAGGAGACTGTTCCAAACTTGACAGGAGGTACAGAGCTGGGGGCATAGTGCCAAAGAATTGACAATAGATACATTTTTGGGCATTAGGAGTGAGGATTTTGTAACTCTTCCTTTCTCTCCCTTTAATCTGGGCATTAAAGGTTAAGGACTTTTAGTTGTATGAAAAACAATCAGCCAAGGAAGAGACTATTGGAAAAAGTGATCATAGTGATATCGCTTCAAATATAGGTGCATTAAAAGTCCTAGCTATTCCTTCCAATGTTTGTGGTCCTCCCCCCACCTCGTTGCGATGCCAGTAAGCCTTAATAAGGTTTCCTAAGACACATGTTGCAAAGAATCATATCAGAGCCCATTTGGATTTTCTTAATGAATCCTTAACTCTTCTTTAAACACAGAGAGGTAATCTGAAAGAGTTGAGATAAGCACCATCATTTATCCAGATTACAGCAAACTCTTCCCAGGAGTCCTTGGACTCCTGGCAAAGCTGTCTGGTTATGCTCAGACTCCAGCCAGATGCATTCATCTAAGCAATGGATCACTTTTTCTACTCCTGAGGGCTAAGGTTTCTGACTGACAGTACTGCAGTACTCATCCTTCTAGTACCTAAGTTGTGGCAGTCTTCAACGGCATGCAACACCCCACCCACCCCCGCTTCAGGGCCAATCCTAAACAACCGACTTCTCAGTTGAGTCCAACTGAACACTTCCCTCTTACTCATTCTCTCTTACTCATTTGCCATGGGTTTGTAAAGAGTTCACGTCATTTCAGGGGCAAGGTAACAGAAAAGCAAGTTTGAGGTATTTTTAAAATCATCTTGTGAATGCTAAATCTCATATTAAAATCAGCCTGAAGGCATGAGGAACTTGGAGGATTTACCTGAAGTATCTGGCTGAGTCCAAGCCAGGACTAGAGCACCAGCCTTAGGAATCATTCTAGAGCATTGATCTGTCCACCTTATTAGGTAGGGCTTCTTCCAGGGCTTGGGAAATTTGTTTTGTGGACAATTCCTAGCCAGCTTGTGGAGTTGTAGGCCACAAAAAGTAACTTTCCTTGACAGTTGATCTTTCCTAGTCCTGCTTGAAGAGACTGAGAATTGAACCTGGGACCTTACCAATGCAATGTTTGTGTTCTGCATCTGAGCTAATAGTATTTGCATACAAATCCAACTTTAAAATGGTTGAAAGAGCGATCACTGAGTTGAGGAAAAACAAATCCAAACACTAAGGGCACAGTTCCAGTATTCAAGCAGTGTTTGATGTGTTTGGAAAAGCAAGCAAACCCTGAAGTTGATACTCTTCACCTAGTGCTGTTAGTACTTCCTATAGAAGACATTTGCCTAGAATTTCAAAAGTATAAACTGAAAATGCTTGCAATTGAAGACATTGGCCGCCTGTTGGATTTAGCGTTACTAGAAACAACTGGAAGTATTGACACAATCATTCAGTTGAATCATTCCCCAGATGGGTTTGAATTTACTGAAACTCTTTGGACTGGTGCTAATCCTTTATGTTAAACAGATATTGCACTAATGGGAAAATATGTCTGACTAGCAGGATTAAAGGAAAGATCAAGGTAAGCAGTGGTTCTTCTGTTTTGTTTAGATGCCTAACAGCTAATACAATTACTACAACAAAACAATATTGAGATTGGTACTGGCTATAGCTCTAGATAACCAGTGTGGTATAATGAATAGAGTGAAAGACTGGGAGGCCTGGGTTCAAATCCTTAGTCAGCCATGGAAACTCACTAGGGGCGAGGCACTGGTCAAACCATTCCTTAAATAATATCTCACTTTGAAAGCCCTGTTAGAATTGCTATAAGTTGGGTCTGACTTGACAGCACATAACAGAGCTGCTAAGATGAATGCTGACACACATCACCTTGAGTTTTTTTGTCTAGACAGTCTTAAGACAAGTTACTTCCCTGTAGCAGTGTCCTTTTGTCTCCTTATAAACATATGACCTTAGAAGTAAAAAAGTGCCACAGCAAGATTACTATCTAGATAGAAATGAAGCCTGCACCCTCTATGTTGGGACTGGTTAGACTTCTAAACATGTACAACAGTGGTTTTTAAAGCTTAAGAGACTACTAGTTATCTATGGTTCAGTTTTAAGTGGCTCTCAAAAGAGCAAGAGGTGTGTTCTTTAAAAAATGTTTCTAGTATGTACTGAAGCAACCACATACTCTCTTGCTGAATTTAAACATTTTAAAATGAAAAGGAGCATGAGCCTCTCGAGTCTTGGCTTCTCTGCACGTGGCCACAACTTTTTAAACATAAAATACTTATTTTTATTCCATCATAAAGGACATTCTGCCATAAATATAACTGCTAATAATGCAAGACAAAATAAAATGAGAAAATTATACTTGAAGCATAGTTGAAATATAAAAGGAACTTTCTTTAAAATATAATTAAAATGAGAAATAGTGTACAGTTTTTAAAACCAGTTTCAGCAATTGACAAGTGAACTTAAGGGCCCCAAACCTACCTGAATGTGGACATCTTTGATGGCTGACAGAGGGATATCAAATATATGGTTACTCTTTCCTCTTTTGGAAAGATATCAGTCCAGAAATGAAATAAAACTTTAAAAATAAAAACATTGTGGCACCTTAAAGACTATCTGCTGTGCTTTCGTGGGCAAGGCCACTTTTTTAGATCTGAGGAAGCTCACCTTAAAATATAGCAGTTAGTTTAACATTTTTGCCTTCTTTATTTTTGATTTTTCTTTTCTTTTTAGCCCGGTATGCTAGCACAGACTAAGATGGCTACTTTTTCTAAAACTTTTGGAAAGGAGTTCCAGGAACTGAGAGTAGTTACAAGAAGGCCCCCTCTCATGTTTCCATGAAATGTGCTTAAAATTGTGGAGGGATCGAGAAGAGGACTTCTCTGAGGCTCTTAAAATCTTAGCAGCTTCATGTGTGAAAATATTGTCCTTCAAACAGGCTGATGGCAAGTTGTGATTGTGTCTGTAAACAGACCAGTGGTTTATTCGCGAAGGCTTTCACGGCCGGGATCTATTGGTTGTTGTGGGTTTTTCGGGCTTCTTGGCCGTGTTCTGAAAGTGGTTCTTCCTAACGTTTTGCCAGTCTCTGTGGCCGGCATCTTCAGAGGACAGCAAACTGTGCTCTCAAACTGTGCTCTCAGTTTGCTGCCGGCCACAGAGACTGGCGAAACGTTAGGAAGAACCACTTTCAGAACACGGCCAAGAAGCCCGAAAAACCCACAACAACCATTAGACCAGTGGTTATTAAAACTTTTGTAATATGGGAGTTACACATGCCCTGTAACTGGCACTGGTTGGCAATCGGGCCAGCTGAAGTTTCTGAAAGGTGCTCCTCATCTCTTGCAGTGCATATTATTTATAATCATCAACCTAGTTATAACAAAACACTATGTCAGTGTGGCAAGGTCAGACATTTCAACAGGTACAGTAGGCGCATTGGCTTCAGCAATACAGACATACTCCTAAACACCACTGGAACTGAAACATGCAGGTTCAAAGCTGAATCTAGGACTATGCCTGAACTATAAAACTAAATTCTCAAAGGGACGACAATGTCTCCATCTTCCCACCCAGCATGGGTGGAAAAAAAATTCAGAAAAACAGACACTTGTTTTAAACTGCTGGATAGTCAGTGGTATAGGTATCTGGCTGTAGAGCCAGAAGTTGGCGGTATAGGTATCTGGCTGCGGAGCCAGAAGTTGGGCATTTGATTCTCTGCTGTGCCCCCTTGACAGGGGCTGGATTCGATGGTCCATAGGGTGCCTTCCAGCTAATCAGTTCCAAGATTCTTATTATTGTTGTTTACCATAGAAGTGTGTGCTACAGAATAGAAAGCACCAGATAAGATTTAATTCATAGAATATTACTTATGCAATTGTCTATGCATTGATATTAATTAAAGAAATAAAGATTTTTAAAAAACCAAGCAAACCAAAGTGGTAGATATGTAACAAATAGAATTCACCCCATAGAATATTACTTATACAATTGTCTATGCGTTGATATTAATTAAAGAAATAAAGATTTAAAAAAAAACCAAGCAAACCAATGTGGTAGATATGTAACAAATAGAATTCACCTACGTAATAAATAATTTTAACTATTCACAAAATCTTCCCCAGCTATATGTAAACTGCAGTGTGTAAACAAGTATTGCTTGCCTTTGAAAGCACTTAAGATTGGACAGTTATGGAGTGTTCTTCTGCTCTGAATTTTGAAACCTGCAGTATTTACTTGCATTATGTTGTTCTGGGTTTGTATTTTAAGTGTTGTAGCTGGTAAAGGGTTAATGAGCTGTCATGCTGAGGAGTGAATTTGGATGAGCTATCATTAAATTCTTATAAAAAATTGATTTCCTTGGAGAACATTTTCCATCAAAGATTTATATAACCTAGAAAAGGCCGGCAAGACTGACACACTTATAAATGTGATATTTTGGACGTTTTAAAATGTTAGTGATGGGGAAGGAGTACTGAACATTTTTTTTGCTGCCAGCAGTTACTATAAAGATGGAAACATCACTGTCTTAATCTAATCCTCCTGATTTCTTATGAGATAGCTTATAAAATATGAATTACCATTTCCCTTTCCAGTTCCATGAATGGAAACAGATAACGTGAAGATGAATGCAATTGCATGGGATGTATTTTGCCAAACAGGCAACTTTATCTGAACTGAATCCATCCATCAGGCTGGGGCTTCAGTAAATTAAAGGGCATATTAACACAGATGTTCAACTGATAATAATTTTTTGTTAAATTTCAGTTGATCTGCATCATAATTGGGTAGTAATTCTCACTAAAACTGGTTTCCCTCCAATTGCACTTTGCAAAACATGGAATTTTAATGCACTGGCAAAGCTGCAACTGCTTAGATGGCTGTTTACCAATGGAAACGCCCTCTGCCTGTGCAAATTCTCAATCAAGCAGCTTTTGTTTTTGTGCTTGGTCTTTGTGCTTCTTGATTGAATTCAGTGTTCTTTCATTGTGCCTTTCCAGTAAAGCCAGCAACTGCTGCTGCTTTACAAGAATCCACCACCTGCCACAGGCTTTTGGCACTGTACCCAGTCATGTTATAGCAGACAATGACAGGATTCTTATTTTAAAACCATAGAAGGTGTCTGGATTTGTATATCTTTCCTCTTCTTTTCCCATTTATTTTCTTCCCTTTTTGCTTTTCTTTTTGTGATACGGATCCATCCTGCCCCCAAATGCTTATGCCAAAGGAGGAGATTCCATTGATACCAGCTTTTGGAGTAGGACATCCATCAAACAGATGGGCTTCTCTTCCTTTTGGATGGCTTCCTAGCACATGCAATTTTTGCACTCATTTTTTAGAATGGGAGCCATTCTCTTATATTTTTTTGGGGGGGGTCTTTTTAAGGATCAAATCAGGACTTTGTGTGTTTGTGTGAAGTAATGACAGGAGATCTTTCCCATAAGTAGTGAATTTTGGCTTGGTAAAAAATTAGCTTTCATTAACAATATGCTAAGGTCAGTACATTTAGCAAATATTTGACTTTGATACTTGTATTTCAATATTTCCTTCACTTTCTTTCCTCTGTTTGCAAAGTGGATCTTCTCAAATTATTTATTTAATTCAGGGGGGTTATTGTCCCACAAACAGCCCTACTGTGTTTTTCAAATACAAAGCAAGAGTGCAGAAGCAGAATAATGCACAATAAAAACAGCAGTTAAAACAGTAAAAAGAAGCTATTAAAACAGCATTTAAAACCAAGAGGGAAAATACAGGTAAGGCAAACTCCAGATACAAATAAAAAAACTTCAAAAATGAAGAGAATGAGAAAACAAGGACTTTATGTTGTACTCAAGCATTAACTAAGATAGTGACAGGCAATCAAAGAAAAGAAATGGAAAAGTTTAAATGTCGCCACTGAGAAGATCTCCTCTCTTGTAGGTACTTACCAAACCCAAGATGTCAGGGCCATCATGAAAAGTCTTTAAATGTATGGAAAAACTGGGAAACAGTAAATATTTTAAATATTGTTGTAATCTGATCACAGTGTTCAGTTCCAAAGACATTTGGCTAGTGTGTTCTTCACTAGTTTAATGAAGATTTCAAATGATTTTAAAGCAACCCACATGCAATGTATTGTAGCAGCCTTCCCCACCCTGGTGCCTTCTGGGCATTTTGGATGACAACTCATGTTGTCCCCATACTCTCTGGAGCTGGTCGAAGTTGTATTCCAAAACCTACAGAAGTCAACAGGTTAGTGAAGGCTGCACTACAATAATTATCTTGGCAAGGATAACTGTTGTGATGGCATATTTCTGGTCTGAATACAGAGATTATAGCATCAAACTAGAAATGGATTTTGTGTTGCTCTAAGAATTTGAGCTGGGTTGGAAAGACAGATAAGCATCAAGCAGGAGGTGATTTTGTCTGTAACTGGATTGTGTCCAGGCTTCCACCTGATAAGGCAAGAAGCTACAAAAATAGATCTTGCGTGTTCAATACAAGACATGATTCCATAGTGGCTATAAGTATGGCAGTGTTTTTAAATGAAGGATATCAAGCCCCATTAAGCAAATGTAAGTCTATTAAAGTCACTATAGCTCAGGTCTGGAAATCAGTTTTGTGTTTCTTGCACAAGTTCTTGGACCTGTTCAGACCAAGATTTGTGTGTACTGTATTGAATAATGAATGTAATATTACATTGTATTTTCTGTGACTCGTATTCTTATAGAATCTTGAGTTTTCAGGTAGTTTCTGCTTGCTTGTTTTTTTTTTTTTCCAGCAGTGCTGTGATCTAGGATATCATGCCAGCCTTGGCAGGGCACTCAGGACATTCCTGTCAGCAGAGTTGAACTTGGAACAATCAAAGCATGAAGGCCTGGATGCCATTGAGAATGCAGTGGAGAACTTGGATGCTAACAGTGACAAGCAGCGTCTCATGGAGATGAGCAACAATGTCTTCTGCCCACCCATGAAGTTTGAATTTCAGCCTCATATGGGTGACATGGTTAGTTCTACTCTTCTCTATGAATATGCATAAATAGGGGTTTCCTTTGTAGTCATATTTAGAAACATTGTGTACAAGATAAAGTAAACTGTGGTGTTGATTGATCCGTGACTTCAGGGGAATATACATGTCCCCCTATATATTTTAAATGAATGCATGGAGAGAGAGCAGGGTTGCATGGACTGACCTCACCTGCTGGCCATGCACTATGGCTGTGCTTCCCCAAAAGATATCGGATTGGCAGTTCTCCATGCATGCAGATGTATGTGCAGATGTGTGTACATGCAAGGAAAGACTGGCTATTGAGAATTGCTTCTCTAATATAGGAGCTTTTAAGCATACAACTGTGTTTGGAGAGAACCTCTATCAAATGTCATTTGGATGATATTCACTGTGAACACAGTGCTGCCGTATGGTGATTGTATTGGATAGGTTTAGCCAATGTGGATCTGCAGCCTCCTCCATGCTTTCTTAAGCATGTGGGGAGGGTTCTGTATACCCTTTTTATGCTATGACTGGATTTCAGATACACAACATTATCCTACAATTTCATCAGTACACTTCTTTACCTCTAGACATCTTGGTACTAGTTTGTACAGTCTTCACTTTGTAATGTTGGTTGCTTTTTATAATGGATGTATCTTAGAAGTAAAAAGGAGAGTAAAATAAATGTGGTAAGCAATGTATTTGCTTTCATCTGTTGACTATTTCCTGTAGTTTCCAGTAGGATGATTTGCTTAGAAGAAGAGTTGATTATAGACATTCTTTAAATGAAGGCTGTTCTAGAGAGCGAACGAAGTGCAGGAAGATATGGTGTAGCCTGGTTTCCTTCCCTACACCTACATTTGTTTAAGAGGAAGGTATCTTTTCACTGTTCTAACATCTGATTTCCAAACAGCATTTGGTGAACATGTGATTCTGTTTCCTGATTATGACTACTATTCATTAGATGCTGGGACATTGATATAAATCAGGACTTGCAGACTTGTGTTCTCACAATTAAAGATGGATTTGTAGTGTGCCATATCACAACCTTCTCTTTTGGCTTTTTATTTCTTCCAGATTGTCCCCCACGTATCTGTATATTAGACTGATATTTCTGGGTCTCTTTTCTCTCATGTTGCTGCAAGTTCTTTATGTAGATACTATTATCTGCATGAGGAATCACTGATGTTAAGGTGCCGCACTGTTGTACTGAATTCAGCAGTTTTCATTTTGCTTCCCCATCCACACCCTGAGAATTTCTTATAAAGATAGCTTCTGAAGACTAACAATCGTGGTTGCTGGATGGCAAACCATAAAACTGAAGTTCAGTATTTTATTGCATTTTCTTTGGTATTTATTGCATGTTACTTTCATCCAGTTGATCTTGTCCCAAGAGAAAATATCACAGATGCTTTGCATTAGTTCTGTTTGCAGTTTTCTTATACAAGGAATTCACCCTGCTTTTTAGCACAGCTGTGATATATTAGAGTTCATGTTGTTAAAGACCCAAGTGCCATTGGATACTATGCAGAATGATATTACTTTCTGTAAGGGCACCCAGTCTCTAGTTTGATTGTTGTGACTATTGGATGTAATTATTCTCAGCATTGCACCATTTGGACATTTTATTACTAAATTCACTTTCTGGCTACTTTCCGATCTGTTCAAAGCCCATGCTATTTAGTCATTGTAGTTAGCAACCAGAGTACTGTATATATATTCAATGGAAAGCAAGATTGTCTCAGTGATGCAGACACATTTGGAAGGTCTGAGCTCTCCCATGGAATCCATTCGCCCGTGATATACATTGGCAGATGTAGTTTCATGTGATAGTCCAAAGCATCTGTGATAAATGTCCAGAATTATGAAATGTGTACTAATGAATTCTGACACAGACTATTAGGCTGATGTCCACACTCCTTCTCTACATGTATACATTCACCAAATATGTGAGAAATTGTCAGCATTCAAACAGGCTGCAGCAATGACTCTGTGTGTATGTTACATTTATTATGTATTCATATTTACAGATCTAATACCGTGTTTCCCTGAAAATAAGACAGGGTCTTCTATTAATTTTTGCTCAAAAAAACGCATTAGGGCTTATTTTCAGGGGATGGTTTTTTTTCATATACAACAATCTACCACATTCTTCTGTGTATAAGACTATACTTTTGTCTAAAATCTTTAAACTAAAAATTGAGGGTCGTCTTATACACAGAAGTAAGCTGAGGAGAAAAAAAACAAGTGGAGGGGAAGCAGGGACCAAAGTGCTGCAGGATGGCTTTGATCCCTGCTTTCCCCTCTGCCTGCTAAGTCCCATGGGGCTTAGCAAAAGGAGGGGGGAAGGATCAAAGCAATCCCGTGGCTGTATAAGGGGGAAAGGGATCAAAATGTTCAGTTGCGGCATTGCTTTGATCCCATTCCCCCTCCTTTTGCTAAGCCATGCGGGGCTTACAACAAAGGGAGAAAGCAGGGATCAAAGCCATCCTGCAGCACTTTGATCCTTTTTACTCTACATTTCCTAAGCCCCACTTAGATTTCTTAATTTTGGATTAGAAAAGGGGGGCATCTTATACACAGAAAAATAAGGTACATTTATTCAAACACTGTCATGCCATCTTCTGGTTGTTGCACAATGGGGGAGGGCAAGGTTTCACTGAAGAGGCTTATTTTGGGGGTAGGGTTTATATTACCAGCATCCTGAAAAGTCATACTAGGGTTTATTTTCAGAGAAACAGGGGAGTATAGTCCTATCACTGTAGATAGTTGTGTCAAAGAAAAAACACAGTATATGTAGCTGGCTGGTCCTCTCACTTATTTATCATACTTACATTTGGACTAGTAAAAAAATCACTAAAATGGGTCAACATCAGTTCGGTTATGTGAATATACTCTTTTCTTTTAATATTGTGAGCTGCCTTGGGTCCCCTTATCAGGAGAAAGACAGCCTATAAATAAAACAAATAAATGAATAATAAATACATAAATAGTGTGGAGCACTATTTTTAAATTTATATTTCTAAATTTAGTGTTGCATGCATCTAGATCAATTTAAAAGTCAAATCCCAGAATGACTTTATTTCCCCCTGATTCCATACCAAAATATTCAAGAAATAATATTTTGACATTCCTATATCATTGATACTGCTCTTATGCACCTTACATTCTTTTTAAGGAGAAAAGTTAGATAAAAATATTTTAAATAAATGAAAATAAATAAATATATATTTACCCTCTGGCAATTTTTCTAGAAAGGTATATAACAGCCATGAAGGGGAGAAGTGGCTGATTAGGAACACAATGGGAGCAGAAATTTACTTTGCCATATCAGGCTTACAATCTAATTTCATGCATTCCCTTCTTTTTGCTATTTAGTAAACAAAAACCAGGCACAGAAGTAGTTCTCATAACTTGGTTGCTTGAAATTTGGCAAAAATTTGCATTAAAATTTGGACAATGGCATTCATAACTTTTCTTTTGAAATGTGGAGTCAGAGGTTCAATATACTTTTTAAAACTAATTTGCTTCTTTGAACATTAACATATTGAGTCTAGTTCTCTGAATATTACAGGTTTGAAGAGGGGCTGGTGGATGAAGTGTCCGAATTGTTATTAATAAATCAAGATATGAACATGGCTCTCCCCCATGCAAGCAATCATTTTGCTTTTTCATCACTAGCCATGATTAAACCAAGAGATCACTAATTAACCAAAATTTCCCATTTCATTTGATCCAGATTTCCTAGTATTAATGAAATGGGGAACTGTGGTTAATTAGAGAATTTGTGTCTATGAAGATTCTCAGTCATCCATCCATGTGAGGTTATCTAGAAGTTGAGTCATGGCAACTGGATTTGTTTCTTGTTAGGTTGAAATTTTTCACTGGTCATCCAAGTAGCTTCTTCAGTCTGAGGAGAGTTGGTAGGAGACATCTGATAGAGATCTTGTGGTTCGTTTGTGGCTCATGTAGAGGAGAATACAAAGGAGCTCTGTGCACATGCAAAACTATCTTGTCTTATAGGTCATCAAATTAAGTCAGTGTTATGGGGAAGGAAATTAACATGCCCTTGTCTTCTGACATACTGAGCAGGTCTATCTATTCTGTGTAATTCCATGATTCTTTATAGAGACAGGTCTGGGTTTTTTTGGGGAGTGGTGGTTGGGTTTTTTGGGGGAGGGGGTTGTTTGTTTTTTGAGTTTTTGTTTGTAAAATGCAGCTACAGTATTCGGATTGTTATTTTAAAGGGTAAGAGGTTTTGGTACCTTTTCACCTTGAGCTCTTTTCTTTCTAAAAACTGTTCTCTCACAACCTGCTTTTGCTATTACTGGGAGGAAGCAGAAGCAGAAATATGTTTTCTTTTGTAGAATAGACGTATCTCAGACAAACAAGTTTCACTGGAAAAAATACTTGGGAAAGGATTCCAACCCCTGCCTTCTTCCCACACCAGCCTCCTCTTTCCAGTTGTACTTTCCACAACTTCAGTATTGTTAGAACCACAAAACTGTAAAAGAAATCTACTTTGTGTGGTTCCTTCCTTTGTTTATTAGACTGTACATATTGATTTCAAATGGTGCAGGTTTTCGTTCTCATCGTCATAGATTTGCTATTTAGATGGGTCAAGTTTTTCAGTTTTAATGTTGTGGCTATAAAAAGTCTTACACCAACTTGTAAAGTGTTTACATTTATTTTGATAATACATATCCCAGTTTATTCCTTGCTCCATTGCTGTATAACCCAGTCAAGATAAAGTGAAGAATGGGGGCCATGTGTGCAAAATATATACAAAGTGTTTTTTTTCTTCTTCTCCAGGTCTTCCAGCTGTGTGCCCAGCAGCCAGTGCAAAGTGAGTTGGTTCAGAGATGTCAGCAGCTCCAGTCTAGGCTATCCACACTAAAGATTGAAAATGAAGAGGTGAGCTAACACAAAACTCTACACTACTCATAGCAATTTCCTCAATAGTGTCTCCTCTTTTCCACTTCATACTGTTTTGCTGGTCTAAACAGCAAATGAGGAAAAGGAAGGATAGCAGGGAACAAAATCTGTACAGTGAGGTCTTGACTTGAGAACTTAATCCGTATTGGAAGGCGGTTCTCAAGTCAAAAAGTCTGTAAGTCAAGTCTCCATTGACCTACAGTGCATTGAAAACCGATTAATCCCGTAACAGGCCGTTTTTGTTCTATTTTGGTTTTTTTCTGGTCTGTAAGTCAAATCTCAGTCTGCAACTCAAACCTAAATTTTGCGGCCAGAGAAGTCTATAACTCAAAAAGTCTGTAAGTCAAGCCGTCTGTAAGTCAAGGGTCCACTGTATCAGTAACTTCATTCCACAAAAAAGCTTCTGAGGCAAACCAAATGTGCGTCGGTTCCTAACATTAATTACTTTTGAACAACTACATTGAAACAACAATGATTTTAGATGAGCTGTCCCATTTTGACAATGTTTAGTATTATTGTTACATTCTAGAATATGTTTCATTGCAGACTTTAATGTTGATTGAAATGGCAAAATCTCTGTCATTTGACTGAGTTTGACTTTTATCCTGCCTTTTACATAACATTGCAATAGGAGGAGGAGGAGGATAGGCCCCTTCTTAAAAACCTTGGATAGCATGGTGAGGGCAAATGGGTTATTCATGGCCTTCATCTGTGCAAAGTGTGTTTATATTGGCACTGAAAGCCTAGGGCTTAATCCTGAACTTTACCTTCTCCAGCCTGTTTTTCAGTTTAGAAGTCAGCTTATGGTTTTTGAGTGGCCATATTTTTCTATTTGAGAAAATGAAGAATATTTGGAACAGTACTAACCCTATATAATCTTGCCTTTATTGACATCTTGGTTCTTGATAACAGGACATGTAGCTTGAGTTACCATGGGCTTCTGTCCTGTGTGTGCTTTGGCAAGGGGAAGAGGAAAATAAGATAGTTGTGCCAAATTGCATTAAGGAGCATCTGCTATACAATCCATAGATCAGAACTGGGGTGGGTTAATGAACAGCTTCAGTCATCTTGCACATTTCATTGTGCAATGGGAAGGTGGGATGCAAATTGAAACAATCAAAAACAGTGGAATATATTTTACAATGAATTTTAAATGTTTGAATAATGGAGTATTCATAATCACTCATGTTCTATTTTGTGCTCATGTACAGCCATGTAATATACTTGCCTTTTCCAATTTGATTATCTTTATCACATGGAAAAGTGCAAAGTGTTAGGTACCTTGCAGACTACATATTAAAACTATATGTTCAGTTCTTGCAACATTATTGCAGAACTTACTTTAACCAATAAAAGCCTCACAAATTATATATGGCTTCTCTTTGTCTATCTTCCCTAAGATGCAAAGAGATTAACATATCTTATTTTCTTCCTCTTCTTGTTACTCCAAATACTACTCTTCTCCAAAGGAAGCAAAGTAACTTTCTTTTCTAAGAGAAAAGGAGGGGTAGACAACCCCTGACTCACCTTCAACCCATCCCCACAGCATTTTTGTAATCCCTGATGCACCCGTTTAATATTACTGGAGCTCAAGATTACCACTCAATGGTTTTTCCTTCCAAGTAAGTCTGCAGAAGACTGAAATCTCCATCATCCATCTCCCTTTTGTTTTGTAGATCTAATTAGTGCTCATTGTGTGCTTGGGGACCATAGAAACAGCTGCAGTAACCAATGCCAGTAGTTAAATGTATTGCTTCCTATATCCTCACCATTCTCCCCTCCCTTTTCATTCCTCTCTTGTCTCCCCCACCCAGGTTAAAAAAACAATGGAGGCCACACTGCAAACTATCCAGGATATTGTCACCATTGAAGATTTTGATGTCTCTGACTGCTTCCAGTATAGCAATTCCATGGAATCAGTAAAATCAACAGTCTCTGAAACCTTCATGAGCAAACCAAGTATTGCCAAGAGACGGGCCAATCAGCAGGAGACAGAACAGTTCTACTTCACAGTAAGAGGACTCACTTTCTGTGCACTTTCAGTGAAGTTTGTATGTGTTGGAGCTGGAAAACTGTGTTTCTTGAAGCTAACAAGCTGTCAATATCATTCTTGTAGTGAAGAATTTTCTTCCTACAGGGTCAATATTTGCCTGCTTTTGTTTGAATTTCTCCATCATTCATCTGGCCCTTGTTTCAAAGCCTGTGTTATTTATGTGTTGTCAATGTATTGTTACATCTAAACCATATAACCTAATTCTTCACTTCTTACAAACTGATACTTTACAAGTATAGCTAGGATGGGGAAAATACTAAAGCTGATAATGATAGCTTTCAAGGCTCATGTTTCCTGCCAAGGAATGCTTTTGTTAAAATAGCTGTTACTGTCACATCCCTCTTTAATTTTAATATATTGTTAATATACAGTATACATATATAATGACTTAGTTCAGCTAGGAGAACAAGAGACATGCTAACAGTCTACACCAAATGTATTATTTAGAAGAGTAATCACAATTACAGTTAGTTGTGATGTTTGTGGATCCTTTCCCTTCTTACAACTAGAGCTAGTTGTAGCCCATTTTAGAACACTAACATCCTGTTAATTGACTGTTCAAGAGGGGAAGTGGAGTACAACAGGATTTGAGAGATCCACCTTTTAGTCTCCACAGAACAATGCAACTCATTGTGTGTCCTTGAGCTTGTCCTTAGCCTGACTTGCTTCACAGGTTTGTTGTGAAATTGAGTGGGTGGAGAGGGGGCATGTGTACAGCTTGAGATCAGAGGAAGAAGAGGTTATAAATATAACTAATAAGTAAATGATACAGATGTGTTTGTGTTTCTGTACTACAGCTCACAGACTCCATAACACAGATCACATATCTCAATTAGATAATAATGTATTTTATTCAGGATTTCATTTTTATTCCATATGTCTGATGATATGGACTTGTCCACGAAAGCGCACATTGAAATATGATAGTCTTTAAGGTGCCACATGGTTTTTCTTTCTGTTTTGCTTTGTTTTGTTTCTTTGGATCTTGCTTCATCTGATTGCACAGACTAACATGGCTGCCTCTTCCAAAACTGCAGTGCAGAAAATGGTTCCATATGCATTCAGTTGGGTAGAAGTAAGTCTTCAGAAATATTCCCCCATTAATCTGGGACTGGTCCTTTTAAAATGGATACTGCAATATTGCAAACATTTTATACCTTTTGGTAAGGAGGATGTTACTTATGAAAATTACTGCATACTGTATAAATTGCTTTGGTGGACAGGATGGTTTATGTTGGGTCTGGTCTAGTAATAGGTTTATTGGAGAGGGTATCATTCTCTTAGACAAGCACTCCAAATATTTCAAAAGCCACATTAAATTAAAAGGTCTCCTTGGAAGGTGAATTTATCAGAAAAATGTGGGCGGGAAAAGTGATTCAATTAAGAAGCAATTTGATGTCCTCTGCCTGTATAAATGGTTATTAAATTGAACTTACAGATCCTCTTTTTCAAGAGGGAAAAACCACTTTCTGTTTTAAAATGAATGAGTCCTGACTTCCTCTGTGCAGGGTATTAAATTTCTTCACTTCGTATAAATCTCCATGCTTGCCCACTATGTTGAATACTTGCAGTCAAGATAACTATGTAAACAAAAGTGATTGATAATCTATGCAAGAGGCTTATAAATAACCCTAATAAGAATTTAAAGCTTTAACTTAAAAACATCAGATGTCTTGCTCAAAAATAGATAGTGGCTGAGTATTGATGAATATGAGGGGAAAAATGCAGACAACAAAGAAAATGAGTAGAACTGCATTTTAATATGACACACATTTGGCAAGAGGGTAAGAGATGGAAAGCTTTGAACGTATTTTCAGCACCCCAGGGTGAATCTAAATTAGACCTTACAAACTTGACATTATAAAGACATTATGTCCTTTGACACTTTTTTTCCTCCAGTCGTGCAGATGAGTGTTTGGAGATTGTTATGTATCTTGTGCTCCCCACATTGATGGTGCAGCCTGCCATCACCTGTATTCTGTGCTTCTTTTAGAAATCAGTTTGCTGGGATTAGATAAATGAGGTTGCTTTCAGACCACGCCTAGGTTTACCTTAAAGCTTATTGTGCTATGTGAAATCTAATTACGTATAGCTTCGTAGTTTTTGGTAATTTTAATTTTTAATTTGAAATTTTTTACATCCACAATCTTGGTAGCAAGTTAGTACAGTACTGTGGAATTTGACTGTGAAGTGCAGTCCTGAAGAGATGTTGCTGTTATTGCATGTTACCAAATTGTTTTTAGTTTACAGCTATCTTATGAGTTTATAACCTCCAAAAGACCTTGTCATTAAACGCCCTGCTTGGGTCATGCATATGGAAGGCTGTGGTCCCATTTATTGATGAGATGAATTATAAATAATGAGGTAGATCATGAATCCATCTCATGTTCAGTCTTCTTCTTTTCCCACTGTTTTCAGCGATTCAAATTGATGTACTTTGTACCTGTTTATGCTGCACTCATTATGTCTTTCTACCAGGTATATGAAACTTAGGTCCGTGCCTTGGCACATCAGCATTAGCTGTTTTTCCCATTGTGTATCAGCTGTAACAAGGAGAAGAGACTTTTTGTGTTAGAAGCCAGTTCTGTTGGTAACTTGTGAAGATACGATCTGACAGGATCAAAATAACTTAAGTAAGGCTGTGGTCACACCAGCAAAATATTTTTGAGTTACTTCTCATGAATTTTGACCCCTTTGGTTCAGATGATGCAAGGTCATTATTGATCCTTTTGTTCTCCCTCCGTGCTCTCTCCGCATCAGATCCCACCTACCAGGAGGCTTCTACTTTTTTCTTGTGGGATTCATCATGCAACAATTACAGTAGGGTGGGCAAAATGTGGCCCTCCAGATGTTGTTGAACTGCAACTCCCATAATTCCTAGACCACACAGCCAATATTGAGGAGAGTTGGGCCTAGCGCACGCAGCCAGTAGTGAGGAGAGTTGGGCCTAGCCCACACAGTGAGGAATGTTGGGATTTGCAGTTCAGCAACATCTGAAGGGCTGCACTTTGCCCAGGTCTGAATTACAGTGATGTCCTGTGAGCACGGCTGTACCCATACTTTTATTGGCAAAACGCCTTGTACTGCTTCCACCAGTGATGTTGTTTGCCTGCATGCCCTTTTATTTTTCATTTTTTTAAAAAAATAATGACTGGAGCATCAATGCATTGGAAAACTTTTCATTGGCCTCTCGTCGTCGTTTAATCGTTCAGTTGTGTCCAGCTCTTTGTGACCCCATGGACCAGAGCACGCCAGGCCCTCCTATCTTCCATTGCCTCCCAGAGTTGTGTCAAATTCATTCTGGTAGCTTCGATGACACTGTCCAACCATCTCATCCTCTGTCGTCCCCTTCTCCTCTTGCCTTCACACTTTCCCAACCTCAGGGTTTTTTCCAAGGAGTCTTCTCTTCTCATGAGATGGCCAAAGTATTGGAGCCTCAGCTTCAGGATATGTCCCTCCAGTGAGCACTCAGGGTTGATTTCCTTTAGAATTGACCTCTAAGCATCATTGGCCTCTAAGCATCACTTATTTGCAGATCCGTCCACCAGGTGGTGCTTGTTTTCCTGAGCCCTTTCCTGTTCTCCTCTTGGGGAACCTCATGGTTGAGCTGCCATGAGAACAAAGTCCAGCTATTAGTTTCTTTGTTGCAAGAGGCACAAATGCAGCAGAGAAGCTCACACCCATGGGAAATGTTGTCGAAAAACTGAAGTAACAAAATTATTTTTTCAAAGGAAAAAAGGAGCTGCAGAGACAAAAACAACAACCCAGAGAGAAATATAATACTACTAAAGTGTAGCCAGTCATATCACATCAAATTTAGGGAAATGTTGCAGTGCAGTGGTGCCTTGCTTGACGAGGATAATCCGTTCCAGCAAAATCGCTGTAGAATGAAATCGTCATCAAGCAAAAGTAAAAATCCCATTGAAATGCATTGAAAACCTGTTCAATAGGTTCCAATGGGCAAAATACAGTGGTGCCTCGCTTAACGAGTGCACCGTTTAACGATGAATCCACATAGCGATGCGTTTTTTGCAATCACTAATGCGATCGCATTGCGATGTTTTAGGTGGCAAAACATCGCATTGCGATGATCGGTAAGCATTTCGCTTACCGATTTTCACATTGCGGTGTTAGGGAAACAGCTGATCAGCGGTTCCAAAATGTCCGCCGGGTGCAGAAAATGGCCACCCGCAGCGTTTTCGCGTCCTGCCCTCACTTAACGAGGCGGCGAAAATGGTGGCCGGATCGGGAATCTTCGCTTACCGGTGAGTTTTGCCCCCATAGGAACGCATTAAACGGAGTT